AATCACCTCTAGTGATGAGCGGAATCAGACTCTAGTGATGAGAGGAACCAGGCTCTAGTGATGAGAGGAATCAGGCTCTATTGAGAGGAATCAGGCTCTAGTGATGAGAGGAACCAGGCTCTAGTGATGAGAGGAATCAGGCTCTAGTGATGAGGGAGATCAGGCTCTAGTGAGAGGAGTCAGGTTCTAGTGAAATGAATCAGGATATAGCAAGATTGATTGTACGTCCCTCTGGAGAATTTTTCACTCATATGGAGACACCACCACTTGCCGGTGGAGAGCTGCACATTTTGTCTTATGCTCGGCACTCAGGGCCATTGAGCAGGGAGGGATCTTTTACGTGCCAGTACCTTCTGCGACATGAGACCTCAGTTTATATGGTCTCATCCGAAGGACCAGTCTTCATGTCCCCCAGTGGGATTCGAACCCTCGACGTAAGGATTGACTCCTTACTTCGTGACTTTAGAGCAGACGTTCTGACCACTGCGCCATGCAGGCGATGATATAGCAAGAGGAGCAAGAATACAAATCTTGCCAAATAAAGATTTATTAGAATATATATAGCGAGACAAATCAGGCTATAGCAAGAAGATTCAGGCAATAGCAATAGAAATCAATTTATGGCGAGAGGAATCTGGTTACAGCGAGAAAATCAGGTTATAGAAATCAGGGTACAGTGGGAGGAATCAGACTATAGCAAAAAAGAGTCAGGCTAAAGCTAAAGAAATCAGGCCAAGGCGAGATAAATCTGGCTATGCAAAGAGCCGGAGAAATACAGTTAGAGCTAGAGGAATCAGCTACAGAAAGGCGAAAGGAGTGAGGAAAGAGCGAGAGGAAACATGCCATAGAGGGCGGAATCAGGTTTAAAGCGATTCTACTTAAAAACAAGCTAATTCAGAGAATTTGTGTCCCCCGCTTAGGAAAAAAGTAAACCATGCGCAGTTCGGGGAAGGGGGGGGGGGGGGGGTCGGATCTCCCTGGCTGAATTTGTAGAATTATTACATGTATACATGTATACTGAAGCAAATAAAATATGTCAATATGGATATAAAGATTTAATTGCTTATTCTTAATTATGTGTATAGAAGATTCCTTTTATATGGAATATTTATCACACTGTAATGATGATTTTATGAGTTTGTACAAGTCAGACCTCGTAATTTTTTTCATTTCGCGTGCTGAATACTATTATTTAGTACAAAAAAAGTATTTCCAAAAAAAAAAAGTCCATCCGGGACTTGAACTCGGGACCTCTCAGATTGGAAGCGAGAAACATACCACTAGACCACGGAATCGCTTTAAATAGAGTTATGTATATGCAGAAGTGAAGTCACATACATGTATATATTCATGTTCGGTATTGTCAAAATTTTACACAATCCATGGTATTTGATTTATTTAGCCTTTATTAAACAGTTCTAATAGATGTAATAAGAACATAGTCCGCCGGGAAACTGTTTTATACGCAATAACTCTCCTCATGGCCCTGTGCTAAAAATAGCGACATGTAATACAATAAATACTAATCAAACAGACGGGGTGGGGCACTTTGAGAGGGGTGAGAGAGGTCCTAGGGAGTTTTGGTATAAAATTACATTGCACAAGCTCAAAATCTTCTTGAAATATCGCCCGGAAATGATAGTGTTACACACAGACAGGATGTATAAATTTACGACCTTGAACTTTGACCTTTTGACCTCAAAATCAATAGGGGTCTTCATTAGGCCACAGGGAGTTGCTATGTAAAATTTCATTGCAATAGCTCAAATGGTTCTAGAGATATCGTGTGGAAACGAAAGTGTTATTACAGACAGAATTTGCTTATTTATGACCTTGACCTTTTGACCTCAAAATCAATAGGGTTCTTCTTTAGTCCATAGGGAGTTGCTATGCTAAATTTCATTGCAAAAGCTCAAAGGGTTCTCGAGATATCGTGTGGAAACGAAAGCGTTACAGACAGACAGAAAGATGGACGGACGGACGGACAAACCCAAATTAATATCCCCTACTTTTCAAGCGGGGGACAAAAAAACAAGCTAATTCAGAGAATTCGTGTCCCCCGCTTAGGGAAAAAGTCGGATCCCCCTGACTGAATTTGTAGAATTATTAAATGTATACATGTATACTGAAGCAAATAAAATACATGTATGTCAATATGCATATAAAGATTTGATTGCTTATTCTGTATTATGTGTATAGAAGATTCTTTTTATATGGAATATTTATCACACTGTAATGATGATTTTATAACCTCATAAATTTTTCATTTCGCATGCTGAACACTATCATTTAATAAAAAAAAGTATTTAAAAAAAAAAAAAGAAAAAAAAGACAGGTGCGACCGAGATTCGATCCCGGGACCTCTCGCATGTGAAGCGAGTGATATAGCCACTAGACCACGGAATCGCTATAGCCGGTAGGAAGTATATGCAGAACTAAAGTCACATACATGTATATATTCATGTTCTGTATTCTCAAAATTTTACACAATCCATGGTGTTTGATTTATTTAGCCTTTATTAAAAAGTTCTAATAGATGTAATAAGAACATAAAGTCCGCCGAGAACCTGTTTTATAAGCAATAACTCTCCTCATGCCCCTGCGCTAAAAATAGCGACATGTAATACTATAAATACTAATAAAACAAACGGGGCGGGGCACTTTGAGAGGGGCGAGAGAATCTCGTTCTAGGGAGTTTTGGTATAAAATTACATTGCATAAGCTCAAAATCTTCTTGAAATATCGCCCGGAAATGATAGTGTTACACACAGACAGAATGTATAAATTTACGACCTTGAACTTTGACCTTTTGACCTCAAAATCAATAGGGGTCTTCATTAGGCCACAGGGAGTTGTTATGTAAAATTTCATTGCAATAGCTCAAATGGTTCTAGAGATATTGTGTGGAAACGAAAGTGTTTTAACAAACAGAATTTGCTTATTTATGACCTTGACCTTTGACCTTTTGACCTCAAAATCAATAGGGGTCTTCTTTAGTCCATAGGGAGTTGCTATGCTAAATTTCATTGCAAAAGCTCAAAGGGTTCTCGAGATATCGTGTGGAAACGAAAGCGTTACAGACAGACAGAAAGACGGACGGACGGACAGACGGACAGACGGACGGACGGACGGACGGACAAACCCAAATTAATATCCCCCACTTTTCAAGCGGGGGACAAAAAAACATTTATGACAATTCTGGTTTCTGTCTTTTTTTTAAAAAAAATTTCTATTTACATTTTGTCCCCCGCTTGAAAAGTGGGGGATATTAATTTGGGTTTGTCCGTCCGTCCGTCCGTCCGTCTGTCCGTCCGTCCGTTCCGTCTTTCTGTCTGTCTGTAACGCTTTCGTTTCCACACGATATCTCGAGAACCCTTTGAGCTATTGCAATGAAATTTAACATAGCAACTCCCTATGGACTAAAGAAGACCCCTATTGATTTTGAGGTCAAAAGGTCAAAGGTCAAGGTCATAAATAAGCAAATTCTGTCTGTTAAAACACTTTCGTTTCCACACGATATCTCTAGAACCATTTGAGCTATTGCAATGAAATTTTACATAACAACTCCCTGTGGCCTAAAGAAGACCCCTATTGATTTTGAGGTCAAAAGGTCAAAGTTCAAGGTCGTAAATTTATACATTCTGTCTGTGTGTAACACTATCATTTCCGGGCGATAATTCAAGAAGATTTTGAGCTTATGCAATGTAATTTTATACCAAAACTCCCTAGGACGTCTCTCGCCCCTCTCAAAGTGCCCCACCCCGTTTGTTTTATTAGTATTTATAGTATTACCTGTCGCTATTTTTAGCGCAGGGGCATGAGGAGAGTTATTGCGTATAAAACAGGTTCTCGGCGGACTTTATGTTCTTATTACATCTATTAGAACTGTTTAATAAAGGCTAAATAAATCAAACACCATGGATTGTGTAAAATTTTGAGAATATCGAACATGAAAACATGAATATATACATGTATGTGACTTCATTTCCGCATGTACTTCACTCCGTGTACTCCGTGGTCTAGTGATTATGTCTCTCGCTTCAGATGTGAGGGGTCCCGGGATCGAATCTCGGTCGAACCGTTTTTTTTTTTCTTTTTCTTTTTTTTTTAAATACTTTTTTTTTTTTACTAAATGATAGTATTCAGCATGTGAAATGAAAAATTTATGAGGTTATAAAATCACCATTACAGTGTGATAAATATTCCATATGAAAAAATCTTCTATACACATAATAAAGAATAAGCAATCAAATCTTTATATGCATATTGACATACATGTATTTTATTTCCTTCAGTATACATGTATACATTTAATAATTCTACAAATTCAGTCAGGGGGAGCCGACTTTTTCTCTAAGCGGGGGACACGAATTCTCTGAATTAGCTTGTTGAAATTATTTCAATATTGTTGGTTGGAAAATTTCCCGAGTTGTGTTTTTCAATACCGTACTTTATTTAATAGAATGATCTGTAAGTTTGAATTCTTTATGGCTGTAAATTATACATTCACTAAATTGCATCTTAAACATGGAATAGGTGATTGTAAGTATGATATTTTGACCAGTAAGTATTACAGTGTTAGGAAAGTCTTCAGTGAGCAATAATGAGAAATAGATGACATCCGTCCACTGTATCAGTCGTGTGCAGACATTCATAAGTCTTTTCTCCTTCTGAAAACCTGGAGGAAAAAAAAACTTCTCACAAATTTGAAAGAGAGGAATTCTATCTGGAAAGTAAAAGATCCTTTCATTGTTGATTTTATCAACAAATACGGTATTCGTGATCCATAAGTGTACATTCCCGCTTTCTCATGTAAAACAGTCATCTTATCAGAAAATTGATGTGAACTATGATGGCCGAAGTCACGTTAAAGAGCACTGTTGTAAATACACCCCTAATAAATTATTGAAGTGTGTCCCAGTAACACTATGCAAACAAGCAGACTATATTTTCAGTTATAAGTATATCTATTGAATATGAAAGTTCCATGAAACCACGTGAGCTAGGGCGGAAGTCAAATCCCGGGATAACAGGAAAATGAAGAAGAGGGGGATTAAGATTGTACATGACATGGAGTAAAACAGAACATTAACAATGTGGACTTTACGACAACTTTTATCTTTAGTTATAATTTGTGGGGTGAGTATTAGATATAAAAATCCTTTCTCCAGCAGTGCAGCTCTATGCAATCCGGATCCAAAATTTCAATTATTTTTAAACGACGCGCCCTTTGTTTCCTGTTTCGATAAACCGGTCATTTTATGGAGAGTAGTGGATAAATTGTTTACTCAAAAAATCAAGTACCAAAAGCAAATACCGATAATAGAAATAATGGGCCGGTGCAATTTTCACAGCTTATTTTGAAATGGTCTATTTCATATGCACATCTTTGAACGTGAGGGAAAATGAACATGTAATATTTTAACTTGACTTTGTCACTTTAAGCATTGAGTCAGCAGGAAATAACGTATCCAGTATACTGTTTTCATTGTAAATGTATATGCAATTTTCACAGCTTTTTTTGAAATGGTCTATTTCATATGCACATCTTTGAACGTGAGGGAAAATGAACATGTAATATTTTAACTTGACTTTGTCACTTTAAGCATTGAGTCAGCAGGAAATAACGTATCCAGTATACTGTTTTCATTGTAAATGTATATGCAAAAAAAATCTCTATATCTTCAATCTTTAGGCCTTATTTTTCCTATACTTGAAGATTCATAAAAACACTTGATAGTAATCGCTTTTTCGGAGAATTTTACGCATCCTCATTTTTCGAAAGGTCATACACATCATCTATTACAATGCAAAACACTAAGTAAAGAACATTACACAATCACTGTATTCCCTAACGCTAAGGAGCATTTTTATTTCCCTCTTTTTACAAATTCAATATAAAACATGGAAACCTAATCATCAGCTTTTTTCATAAACAGCTGTTTGAAAAACGTTTAGATTTAAAAGGGTTTAAATGAGAGACAGGTTGAAATAAATGCATAACGACAGGGAAGTACTCCGACCAATACTCCATTTGTTTAGGCCATGCAAGGAAAAAAAAAACAAATTATGTAAGATCTTATCAACACGATCAGTTACTTTTAACAACCAATGATGGGAAGTCGCAAGACAATGTCAAGATTCTTATCAGGCAATAAAATAAACTGTTAAACTACATATTTTCAACAGATCTGTTAAGGAGAGTAAATATTAAAAAAACGCCTCTGCAAATACTTCAAGATCTGTATTTAATATTTGTATAATCCCTCCAATACGAAATGAGACGTCAATCTTTAAAATAAAAACTGCATATCTTATCGATGTGGCGAAGAGGGGGGGGGGGGGGGCGGGGGTTAATCTTCAACAGTGTACTTTTAACAAAACTTATCTTCCCTACAATTTACCGGTAAATAGGATGTATTTATTTCATTTGTTACTATAGCATTTGAAAAGGTTATAATCCTTCTTGATTATATGTCCATGAATCTGACATACAACTATCAAATCAGTGTCATTTACGGCATGGAATATATTAAGAAAAGTCATATCTAACGAGAAAGCTGTACCAATTCCTTGTTAAACTACATGTAATATTCTAATATTCAGATGAAATGATAGCTGTTAGTTTGATTGTTCTGGGGGAAAAGGAAAAGAATAATTTATTATTTTGTTTACTACAACGAGGAAAAAGATTCCGAGTGTACTTATGATATCAGCCTTTCATTAGGAAGAATTTGAATTATTAAAACAATTCCAATTCCGTTTTTAGTCAATCCTAAGAAGTAGTTATAACACTGCGATTATAGATGTGTATATTCATTTTAATAGTAAAAAATGTATAAGAACTTTTCATTTATTCCCCTTCTTTTTCTAAAAGATCATGCACCCTTTTTTATGCATTTGACTGCCTTTATAATCATATAACAAAAAGAAAGAGTGTTATGATAGTCTGACGTATTTACATGCAAAACAATGACAACGAAATAAGTTATATGTGAGCAATTTTATCTGCTCCTTCCTTCCTCCCTCCTTTCTATCTAAATCGGTAAAATCCCACCATCATGTCGTGTCACCTCATCTTTATATATAGTGCCACTAACAGTAGGTATCTTTTACTGTATACAGGATGTAAAATCCCCGTTTATTTAAAAATAAGACTGGTCTTTCTGTACCAGACAGTGATCAGTTCCAGATCAAAAGAGGATTTTCCTCCTTCCCGAGTTTCCTTTGAGTGGATAAAACACTTTTTACATGAAATGTTTGAATAAGCAGTCAGTTACAGTGTCTCATTTGAAAACCTTTCAATACCTTCTCCCTCATCATAAAGGAGTAAAGTAAGGTTTAGGTCCAATTTAATATTGATTAATTGCTTTTCTCTATAGATAAGCCGAGTAATTTCATTTGATTCTTGTTAGGTTTTCTCTCTCATTGAAATCCCTAAATCTTACTGATACCAGCAACTCCTGAACAGGAACGTGTAGTACTTAAATATAGAAATGGATTTATATAGAACATAAATGTGACTAAAAAGAATATCAGTTTGTTATTCTCACTCAGTGATGTTGGATATAGAAACAAAATCGTGCGTGTTCGTTTGTGAGTGATTTAATCCTGTGCGAAAGGGAAGTGACGTCATCGAGATCGATGTAGAATGCTGCCTCGAATTACTCCTTGTAAAGAGATGCTTCGCTTTCCAATGTCCTTGTTTGATATTTAAGTCAAAAACCATTATCTATGTATCATGTATATAGAGATAACAAAACTATGTAGGATATTGCCACTTTTCTATTCAGGGCCCCATATTAATTTTGACTTGCTCTATATAAAGACTTCGGTGACTGTTCTTATGCTCATTTTCAGCATAATGGAAAAATGAAACTCATTTTTGATGCAACTGTCATGTTGTTGTATTACTGTCACCCGGTTAATTCAAATTTTGTAATATGGCACAACTTTTTATCTGAATTATATTTTTTACATAATTCATATTAAAAAAGAACAACTTCAAGAGCCTCGCTTGAAAAGCGGGAGGGTTTGTAGTGAACGGGATGTCCGTCCGTCTCTCTGTCCGTCCGTTACGCTTTGGGGTACCAACTTCTTACATGTATCCGCAACTCTCCTTATACCACTCACTGAATGACATTTAAGTTTCAAAGAATCTTTGTTACATAGTGTCATTTTGCACCTCTTATTTTACTTGTTGACCATACAAATATTTTGGGTTTTCCAGATCAAAACATGGACACGGCCATTTTTTCTTTATAATATTGAAGGGTAACCATCTCTTATCCGCAGCTCCCCATACCTCTGAATAAAATATAATATTATACTTTCATGTAAATTACTTGAATCTGATTCGTCGAGAAACATTTGATAAAAAACAATACTACCCGCTGAATAATGAAGCCACGCCCTCCTGCGTAGCAACAGTCAACATTGCTTGACGACGGGTGGTATTGCAAAAAATAGCGACTGCGCGGAATTTGTGCGCGCACGGTTCACTGTAATATGTATGTGTATAAAACATTCAGTATAATATAATAAATATTGCATGTAGTTCTACGAGGGCTGTAACATTGAAAATTTTCAATGATTTAGCCCCTCGAAAACCATTGTCAACCTCGGCTGCGCCTCGGTTGACAATGTTTTTTTTGGGGTGAAAATTTTCAATGTTACACTCAACTACATGCAATATTTATATAATAACTCTTTCTAAAAATTCTTTATTACATAATGCCATTGTGCACCTCCTATTTTTTAACACTTTGATCTGACACTTATTTCGATCTCTCAGAGCAAAATATGGACTTTACCATTATATCCATATGTAGGAGGAATACAGGGTGAAATTTCGAATATGAATAGATATAATGAATGCATTTAGTGAGCTCATTGCTCACAGTACCTCTAGTTTTCTCTTTTAAAAATACCTTATTTACTTGGTAAACTTCCAGGTAAACTTTTTGATCACTCCATATACAGCGTAATTTCTTATACAATTCTCCCACATAGGCGAACCTTATTGACCAAAGTATATAGAAATTATTTATTTAATTAATTACTCTAAAATGCTATTATATAGCCGAACGATATAGATTCTTCTTACATGTATATGCTATTATATATCCGAACGCTATAAAGTCTTCTTAAACGCTGTCATTACAGACTAAACCTATAAATTCTTCAGAAATGCTATTATATAGGCAAACCTTATGACTCTTTAAAATGCTATCATATAGGGGAACACTGTAAATTCTTGTAAGATGCTATTTTTTTTAGACGAACCTTATAAATTCTTCAGTAATGTTACAATAAATTTGAACCTTATGAATTATTTTATAGTGTTACCATATAGGCAAACCTTATCAATTCTTCTATACTATTACAATCCATGTGAATCTCATAAATTCTTCTACGAGGGCTGTTCAATAAATAATGTCCTCGGTGCTCAGAAAGAAGCAAAAGACGCTTTTCAATGATTTAACTATATACTTCATGATTTTACTTATTAATCTCTTTTAATTAAAACACATGTCCGTAACATTTCTTATCCAATTTCTGATTGTTTTTAGAACTCGTTTTTGGGTATGACCCTTAGTATACTGGAAAATGGCAGATCCAATGATTTCCTGGACTTGTTTCTTCCTTCTGAAAGGTGTTTTTTTTCAAATTTGCAAATAGAATCAAGTCAAAAGGTCAAAGATCTGGCGAATATCGTTAATGTGAAAAACATTAATCTTCTGTTTATCTTTAAAACCCCTTCATTCTTCAGGGCATGTGGGTTTGGACCCTGTCATGAGGAAATTCAATGTATTGGATTCCTGATTTTGGGTCCTTCCTCTAATAAAGCTTTCGATTTTTTTGCAAAAAAATGCTTTCTAGACTCCTCCAGAAATTAAACTGTCTCCCCGAATACGAATTTGAACAACAATACCACTAATATTTAAGAAAAATTACATATAAATCTGTCTTTGTGCTCTTGCATGCCTTTGCTCTTGTCAGACCTTCGCCGTTTATATCAAGAACATCTTATGATAAATTTTGTTTTGAGGGTTTTCAGCAATAGATTCATGTTCCAATATCTATTTGAATATAAAACATACGTGGATAACTACAATTACTGATATTTTAAAGTAATT